AAAGTTGCAAGTAGTCGTTGTCCTTCAATAAGTTCATCTGAGGAAATATATATTTGCAAACATTAATAATATTTACATATTTACGGAATATTAATAAATGTTTAGGTTAAATGGTAGTATAAATTGGGCTTAATACATTATTTTAAGCTTAAGGATATTGCAACTTTACAAGCCATGCAGATTGCAAATAAAAGTTATTAGTATATATCTCGTTTTCATAAATAATCACTAGTAAAACAGAATCTGAATTCTCAAAAATCTTATATTTACATTATTTTTCTGATGTTTTTTCCTTTTAAAATATTTTTCCTTACGATTTTTTGCAAATTAGAAATAGTTCACGTTCTCATGAACTACCGTGGGATGAGTAAGAATATTTGCATTGTGATGTGATTGAAGACAAAAAATAGTGCAAAGTTTTTTTTAAAAAAAAAAAAAAAAAGATCGTTAAATGACAAAAATATGTGGCAAATCATCAGAAAAATAATGTAAATATAAAAGATGAATTTAATTTTTGAGAATTCATGAGGTACATGAACTACAACGCTTCACGCCTGCATATTTATCATGAAGTGCAAACGCGCTTCATGAAATATGCAGGCGTGAAGCGTCGTAGTTCATCTCATGAATTCTCAAAAATTAAATTCATCTCTTCAGTAATTGACTATGTTTGAAACACACGGTTAGTAATATTTGGAAATATAAAGTGAAGTCAGTCGACAAAACTGCGCATTTTTTTGCGTGCAATAAACTTTTTTCAATGGATGGCACTGTAGCTCTGTGATCGTCCATCCCAATTTTTTCAAACATGTAAAATGTAAATATTTGGAATGTTCAGACGTTGCCCTCGGGGAAAATGATTTTTCATGAACGAAGGAATCTTCACATCTCTCTCACACTCACTAATCATGCAATAAATGTATAATGTTCAGTGGCGGTTGCGAGTTTTACATGTTGCATGTGAATATAACTTAGTGGAATTCATGTAGATATCTGTCGCCCAGAAATAATGCTTGGACTATCCCGATAAAATACTACCTATCATGCCATCTTTACATGAATTCGAGTTTTTATCACATTAGCTCAAATAATTATATCTTGGGGGGAAAAGTATCAGTTTTTCTTTTTTAACCTTGACCTTAATTGTTAGATAAAAATTCCCTCAAAACATTTACAATTCTATTAATCTTTTTTCTCAAATTTTATCATCCCAAAATCTACCAAACGTCAAGAGATAACAGTATATATATACAATCGGAGCCTTGGTAATCCTAATGCGAATAATCCAGACGCGTCACCCTCCGGACGAATTTTATGGCGAAAAGATATTTCATTTATATCTACTAATTATAAAAGATATATTTCAACAAGAGGCCCATGGGTCACAATGCTCACCTGAGTCTTCTTGGCACTACTGTTCTTCATTACAAGATTAAAAAAAAACAATCTTTATTCACATGAAAAATTCTTGCCCCATGTTTTGGCCCAACCCTAGTCCCAAGGGACATGACATAACTTAAGTTCAATCGACACGACCGGGGATGTTTCAGTATCATTATGATTAATATGGAATTGCTGTTCTGCAGAAGTAAACATGATTATAATAATGTGCTCCTTCATAAAGCCTTACTCTAACACTGGGATCTATTATTCAAAGAAAAAAGAATCCACACAACTACGGAATGCAATTTAGTGTGACCTAGCCATTTAAAAAAGATTGTTTTTAAAAAAATCTCACAATTTATTTTAAATATATTATAGCCAATTGTGGCCCCGCCTAATCCCAGGAGACCAGATGACCAAGATTTGAACAAAAGTGTAACCACCAGAGTGGAGAAAAATGTGACGGACCAGACCAGGATTCAAACCCAAGCCCTTTGAATCACTAGTCAGGTGCTCTAACCACTGACCTATCCAGGCCGATATCCATGGCTCAAACCATTACATTCCCCCTCCTTAAATTGTATTCGCCCTCAAAGACATAACTCAAGTTCTTCTAGCCCTGGGGAGGACTTTAATATGCAAGTCCAGGGATGGACAATGACACCAAATTATGTAACAAGAAAGGAGAAAATGTATGACTGGACCGGAAATCAAATCCATACCCCTACATCGCTATCCAGGCTAATAGCCATGACCTAAACCATTACACATATGAATCTGCACTTCCATTTTAATGCTTGCATATTAATATAATAACCATGGTCCTGTTGTGTTCTTATACAGATTTTTAATGTTTTCCATATAAATTCCCATATAAAATTATTCTGGCCCCACCCTTCCCTGGGGGAGGGGTATTTGAACAAATTTGAATCTGCATGACTGCATATTAATATCACTTATCATGGCATTCTTAAAATTTTAAAGACAGTTTTCCCATGTAAAACTTTGATCACCTGATGTGGCCAAAACTGACCCCTAGGTCCAAGATTTTAACAACTTCAATTTGCATTGCCTGAGGATGCTTGCATATTAATTTCACAAATCAACACTGATCTTAATAAACTTTGATACCCTATATGTGGTCTCATATCCTATCCAGGTGGACCATAATTGGGACAGACTTGAATCTGCACTACCTTGGCATGGTTGCAATTTATTTTTTTTTAAAAAAAAAAGAAAAAAAGAGGTCCATGGGCCACATCGCTCACTTGAGCTTACTGGATAGGGAAAAGCACATATCAGTTCAGTACTGAAAAGTTTACAGGGGGCGGGGCTTGAATTTACACTACCTGAGGGTACTTCCATATCAGTATAACAAATGGCTTTGCTGTTCTTGCACAGAATATTTCTTCCTGTATATTCTTTTGTAAAAATTTGATCCCCCATTGTGGCCCATCCCTATCCCCAGGGGTCATCATATGAACAAGCTTGAATCTACACTACTTGAGTATGCTTCCATATCAATTAGACTAAACAAGGCTTTCCTGTTCCTCATCAGAAGACTTTTTCCAATATACTCCTAAGTAAAACTTTGATCCCCCATTGTGGCCCCATCCTACTCCAGGGGTCATCATTTGAACAAACTTGAATCTACACTATCTGAGTATGCTTCCATATCAAAATGACTAATAATGACTTTTCTGTTCATGAGAAGAAGATTTTTTTCCTATATGTAAAACTTAAATCCCCCATTGTGGCCTCACCCTACCCCCGGGGGTCATGATTTGAACAAACTTCAATCTACACTATCTGAGTATGCTTCTTTATCAATATGACTAAACATGGCTTTTCTGTTCTTGAGAAGATTTTTTTCCTATATTACCCTATGTAAAACTTTGATCCCCCATTGTTGCCCCACCCTACCCCCGGGGGTCATCATTTGAACAAACTTGAATTTACACTACTTGAGTATGCTTTCATTTCAAGTAGACTAAACATGGCCTTTCTGTTCTTCATAAGAAATGTTTTCAAATATATTCCTATGTCAAACTTTGATCCCCCATTGTGGCCCCACCCTACCCCAGAGGGTCATTATTTGAACAAATTTGAATCTACACTATCTGAGTATGCTTCCATATCGAAATGACTAAAAATAGCTTTGCTGTTCTTGAGAAGAAGATATTAAAGTTTTTTCCTATATATTCCGATGTAAAACTTTGATCCCCCATTATGACCCCACCCTATCCCCGGGGGGTCATGATTTGAACAAATTTGAATCTACACTACCTGAGGATGCTTCCCTTTCAAAATGATTAATCATTTCTTTGCTGTTCTTGAGAAGAAGATTTTTAAAGTTTTTTCCTATATATTCCTATTCAAAAATGTTGATCCCCTATTGTGGCCCCACCCTATCCCTGGGGCTCATGATTTAACAAACTTGAATCTACACTATGTAATGAAAGTTTCACATAAGTTTCAACTTTTCTGGCCTAATGGTTCTTGAGAAGAAGATTTTTGAAAGATGATACCAAATTTTCACTAATTCTTAAATATCTCCTCTTGAAAGAAGGCATGGTTCTTTATTTGAACAAACTTGAATTCCCTTCATCCAAGGATGCTTTGTGGCAGGTTTGGTCAAAATTGGCTCAGTGGTTCTTGAGAAGAAGTCGAAAATGTGAAAAGTTTACAGATGGATAGACAGACAGATGGATGCCAGGCAAAATGTGATCAGAAAAGGTCACTTGAGCTTTCAGCTCAGGTGAGCTAAATAAGATTTTTAAACTTATTTTCCGTTATATTCCTATGTAAAACTTTGATCCACTATTGTGGCCCCATCCTACCCTTGGGGGCCTTGATTTGAACAAACTTGTATCTGCACTACCTTAGGATGATCGCTTCTTAATATAATTAATCATGATCCTCCTGTTCTTGAAAGAGATTTTAAAACATTCCTCCCCTTTATTCCCATGGAAACTTTGATCCCCATTGTGGACCCACCCTATCACCAGGGGCTATGATTTGAACAAATTTGAATCTACGCTGTGTCAGGAAGCTTCCACATAAGTTTCAATTTTTCTAGTCCAGTGGTTCTTGAGATTTTAAAATGATCCCACCTTATTTTTTGCTAATTTCTTAATTATCTCTCCTTAAAATAGGATGTGGCCCTTCATTTGAACAAATTGAATCTTTCATCCAAGGATGCTTTGTGGCAAGTTTGGTTGAAATTGGCCAAGAGGTTCTGGAGGAGAAGATGAAATTGTGAAATGTTTATGACAACAACAATGACAATGGTGACAGATAATGGACAAATTTCAATCAGAAAAGCTCACTTGAACCTTCGTCTCCGACAGCTGTATGTATAAATCTGGACACTTCATTAATCCAGTTTTCTCAAGAACACTAACTTTCAGATTAATGAGGCTCAACTGTAATGCATTAAATACATGTCTAAACAAATCCTCACACAAGTTTACATACAAGGAAATGGCATAAATGGGGCTGTAAATTCTGTTATTAAAGATCATTAGAAAAGAGAAGGAGATTTTATGTAAAATTTATTTGTAACATTTTATACAAAAAATCAAAAACTACACAAAATCAAACAACTGTTTGTGAAAATAATAAAAGTTATAAAGAATACTGTATCTTGTATAAAGTGTATCTACATATTTCAAAACAAATATAAGATATCAATGCCATTGAAAATAAAATTAACATTTAAATCATCAAATCTAAACACTATCATTTTTGACAGTTACAATCGTCTTTTCTGCCTGTCAGTCGGAAGCGATTAGCAGCAAATATCTCATACATTTTATCAGATATAGGTCGAATAACTGGTAATTCTGTAAATGCTGCAAAGGCTCCAAATCCAACACCCCTGTACATTTCTCTAATTGCATCCATCTTCTTGTACACCTACAATTTGATAAACTTCAATGTAATATAAAAGAATAATTAAAATATATATATATATATATATCATTTTCTATCTGTTCCCAAATTTCCTATTTTTAGGCCAAACATCTTCCGTTTTAATTTTACTTTATTGATGTAATATGTTCTCTCCACATTTGAAAATCTGGCCAAAAAATGTACCCTAAATTCTGTTAACATAATAATTTCCCAAATTTACTTTTTTTCAACCATAAAATTAAGAATTTTGGCCAGAAATAATTCATCTTCTAAATTTTATCTTCATTTTCAAACCACAAAGTAGGGTTGCAAACAACCACTTGCCCAGTAGAAAATGCTAGTAATTTTGTGTGTGCCTCTAACTCTTGAAGATTCAATTGCCCAAACGGTAAGTGAGAATTTTATTGGAACTTTTCCAGAACTTGACCATTCTTTGACTCTACAATTAAATGCACTTTCATTTTTACTGTTTCTTACCTACAAATTTTTTTCTAGACCCCGAACTGTCTTAACATTTTAACTTAGTGAGGTCTAAAGATGAAGAAAAACATAAGATTTCATGCAATTTCATTCTTAAATCAATCGTGGTGTCAAAATCATCAGGAAAATGAAAGACTGTGGACACTTAAGTATACCTTTCAGAGATTAAAATGCAAAAAGACGGAGATTTTTTTTTTTTTTTACAAAGTGGAGAGAAAATTGTGGGCCCAAAAATATCAGTGTGGGCTACTAAAACTCATAAAGTTGGGGGGCCACATGGCCCCTAAGGTTTTAAATGTTATTTGCCACTCTGCAAACCTCCCTGTAATTTTGTGAGATGTACATGTATGGCAAAAAATGGCAGTCTGAAAAGCAAGATATTATGGTAAGGAATATGACAGAAAAAATCAAAAGGGAAAGTTAAGTCCTAGGCCAGTCCTATGAAGTGGATGGAAAAACTTAGATTGGCATTTAACAACTTAGAGAAATTTTTTTTAAAGATTACAGCAGCTGAATAATTAATGTACAATCAAGAGTTTTAGAGGTTATAAGTTTTTTAGGTATATCCAATAGAACTTTGTACATTATATGTATATGATCATTCATCAAATCAGATGTGTTTGGAAAAATTTACACCATAGATAGGCCAAACAAAAAAATGTGTGTGGTTCCAGTTACACCTCCAAAAAAATTAGGGTAGGTAGGTAGGGATTTTTTTTTTTTAACAAAATGATTTTCTTAATTATTCTAAATAATACTTATCACTACTTTGCAAATGACATTTAGATGTGATGTGATAAACTACTAGTCAGTATTGGTAGGGGACACCTATATGCTAGCTTGCTTTGGATTTAACACTAATAAACACTTGCACTATGTTGTGCAAGGAGGCCATCATTGCTGAAACTAAAACTTAAACCGGAGCCATTGATGGAATTTGGGGAAAATTTCGGAAAAAATATGAAAATTGCCAAAAAACAGTTTAGGGTCGAGGGGTATAAAATAGGGACGGTCGGGTAACCGGAACCACACATATTTTTTTATTTGGCCATATAAACAAAATAACAGATAGATAAAGAATATGTATGTACATGCATACTTTGCTAACTAAAGGATTTAAATTTTTCGATTTAAAAACCACAAAAAATCATGTCTAAAATAATGATAACATTTTAAAATCTTTTTAATCTGGTGAAAGTATACACAAAAAATTTATTTTTTAACAAAGAACTTAGATGTTCCTTTTTATTTGTTATGTTACACATGGTTAGCACATACACAGTGCCTAATGGCTCTAGGAAAAATTTAAATATGAAACAGATAACTTCAAGAAATTTTCTTAAATGACTTAACATATCAGTATATGGTAGTTTAAAGTATTTCAAACTATCAGTTGATATATACCAACATAACATACTAGGATGGCTTTTAGCTCTGTACACATATGAAAAGTATAGAAAAGGCAAAATATTCAAAAATCATTCACGAAAAGCAATATGTACAATTTATTGTTAGCAATGGCACACCTTGTTATCATCCCCAATGACATGCATGTTGCCCATAGCTTCCTGGTATGTTATCCCTAAATGATCCTCAGGTTTAAAACTGTCTTTTGTGATATCCACAAATTCCACTTTACCTTGTTTGTTTAAATATTTTTTAAGTAAATTAATTTCTACTATACATATGGGACAATCGCCATCATAGAGTACCTACAAATGAAATATGAAATGTATTTTACTTCAACAGTTCAATGTCAAATAAAACATACTTGCAGTGGACATGCGATACTCTAATCATTTCGTACATACATAGGTACACAGTAGCTGTGTACGTCATCTATGTAAGTATTGAAGTGATTTTGAAAGACTTATCCATTATTTTAAGTTGTTACTGATACGAATATATTACTGAAAGCAAACTGATGCATTTCGATTGTAACAGCATTATACATGTAGCGATAAATCATTTGGTAAGTTGTTTTTCTCTCTACAAGAATCGACTTCATTCATACTATGAATCATACCTTCGACTGTATTCTCTGTGAGAAGTGAAACATTCTGTTTGTTCCCATTGGAATAAATCTCTTCGGTACAAATGGTAACTTCATCTTTGTTTACCTTACGACAATGTCATCTGTGGCGGCTTTCGCCTTACGGTTGCGTAATGCTTTTATGTTTTCATAATCTTCTTAATCGGGACGTCGATCCCGATGAGAAATCAACATGATAAAGTTCAAAAAAATATCACAACTGATTTCATTCCAGATGAAACATTTATTCCAGTCGTTTTTTTTTTTTTCATTACATAAATCTGCATGGCAAAAATAATTGGTTCAAATAGCAAAATGAACATCATAATTCTCTAAAGGACATATCAGTGAACTTGAAAAAAAAAAAAAAGAATTGTCCACAAATCTGGTAATCGTTAACTTTTTACAACAATTTTAATATACCATTGATTTTAAGGTAATGTTACGGAAGTTAATGCTTGAACAAGTCTTATTATTTTTTTAATAAAGCTGAATTTGGCCAATTTTTCGTTTCTGATGTCCAGTTTAGGACAGTTAAGGACGCTAAAGTGTGATTCATGAAGTCTCGCATGAATCCGAAATTACATGTAAGTTAAAATTTCGGGGAAGTTAATGCCCAACAATAAAAGTTAAAATTCTCGGCAATAGTTAAAATTACAGTTTGTTTTAGGATATTAAACAAAAGTATGTATAGAATTTCATTTTAAAAATAATAAAAATCTTTATACCTTAAATGCAAAAACTTTCCTGAATTACCGTTACGGAAGTTATTTTTTTAAGAGAGGCAACTGTTCTTGTCTAATTCATTTTGTTATGTCGAAAATGTAATCGTCTAAAATAGCTGACTCACAACTAGAATCGATGATATTAGGTTCCGTGGTCACTTTCAGATAAGTTTCAGTTCTTATTGAAATCTGTGCGTGAAATTTAAAACAAAATCGTTACGGAAGTTGATCGATTTTTCTATAATTTCGCATGAAAGAAGGTCCATGCATTTCTTTGCGAGAAATGGTTTGATTTCTTTTTATATAGGATAGAAAACTTTTTTTAATATTCATTACAATCTATTCGGAACGCTTTTACGGCTGAAAATTTCATCTTGAAATTTGTATATAAATGAAGCGACATTAAGATTTGCAGTGGAATACGTTTTTCAACATTACATTATGTTCATATCAAAACTGTAACTGCATATATATCAGTAAATATTTACAAAACCATGTGTGTATGCTGAGTCTTAGAGTTGAAATCGATCTTTAAATTTATAGTATAGATATTACAAGGGTAAATTTGTAAGCGACATAAAAAAAATCTTAATTGGTCATGTTTTTGTAGAATGACTGTTTATGATTTGACGAAGCAAAGAAAAAAAAAAGAATAAATTCAGAACGCAAATACTTTTAATTCGATGTCTTTGAACAGAAATCCACATTTAAAAAAATGTGCGTTACGCTTTGGTAGATAATGTGCAATGAAGAATATTTGCACTTAGTTGAAGATTCTAAAATAAATCAAATGGTCATTCTTAAGAATGTTAAAGCATACCCATAAGAGGTATGCTTTGATAAAATGTATTTTGCTTTTGTTTTTCCTGTTCTTGAATAGTCAGATATCGTTTTGGATAATTGTGCTGATAGATCGAGATGCAAAATTACTCGAAGATGTTCAAGTTGCAGTTGCACGAATAATAACAGGCTTAAGGATAAATTCATCAAGATTAATGCTATATGAAATTCTTGGCTGGGATATACTTGAAATTAAAAGAAAAATACATTAACTTGTGTTATTTTATGAAATAGTTTATGGATTAGCTCAAATGAACTAAAATTCGAGAAAAATGATCCTGAAGTAAGATCATGACCTATCTGAAGATTACTGGCAATAACGAACTCAAGTCCGTTTTTATTCTAATCAAGTATACTCTAAAGTTAGGGCCTGGCTAAGAATTTGAGATACATGTAGAAAGATAGGAAGGTGACCAAGTCAAAGAAGATGGGTGAACAAGGCGTGCAGAATGCCTATAGCTTCAGATATTGAAAAAAAAATCATATTCAATTTGTGAATTAAGTATTTAAAGTAAAGTTCTCATTATTGAAATTTATGAAATTATGATCAACAAAACTTTTCTGAGAAAAAAGATCTCGGAAAAAATTATTCTTTTATTAAAAAAATAAAATGTTCTTCGTGGGATTCGAACCCCTAACAATAAAAATCCAGAGTATCATAGACTAACACGCTAACCACTACGCTACACAGCAGCCTCCTGATGACTATTGGCATTTAAATCATGTTAGTTATATGACCCTTGACTTAATGGACTTCAAGTATTTCTCGGAAAGATGCGAATGCTTTGTCATAAAAGTGTACTTTTAAGGTAAAGTGGGTCTTTGCTCCATGTTTTGTAAACCAAAAAATGTATATTTTTATGCAAACTTTTAGGATTAACTTTCAAAAAAATGGAGCGAAGACCCTTTCAAATCGAAAAATTTTGTGAAAGTGTGAGAAAATGATCCTTTTTGTCCTCTTTAGTGTGTGTATGCTATTTTGTAGGCAAATAGTTTCAGTCTTTGTGAGAATTTTGTAAATTGTAGAGATTTTACATAAAGTATACTTTAATGTTAGATGAAATATCAAAGAAAATTTTGATATAATTGAGATTTTATTTTTCATTTCATGTTTGTCGCACTATAGGCACTTTGCCCGCCTTGTTCACCCATCTTCTTTTTTTTTTTCTTTTTTTTTTTGTCCCCCTAAAACAATGATTGTCCTCTTTCCCAATTGTACTCCTGGTCCCAAATTTATGACATATGAGTCATGCATCAGCAATGGCGTATTCTGAATTCAAAGTTTTAATTTATTCCAATGATTGGAACCCAGACGCCTTTTCATTTTTGTCCAGTGAACTTGATCCCAGATACGTGACCTTGCGTCAAGGTCATGACTTACCTTTATGTCATTGACAACAATACACTTGTGACAGACAGATGGAAAGAAAAAAAATACCGAATTAAAGTCTCCCGTTTAGGGATACTGTGACGGTACATATTGTCGTTCTGTACATTTTGTCGTCGGCGACAATATGTACCTACCCTCACTGCACATACCGTCGTCCATTGGTATATATAGTCGCCGGCGACAATATGTACTGAGACGAGCCTTTTTTCCTCCTCCATAATGGGCGACAAATATGTACAGTCATGTATCGGCATATTTTGTCGTCGGCGCGACATTTGCACATATTATCGCCGACATATTTGCTGAAGAATACTAAGGTCATGAGAGAGAGAGAGACAGACAGACAAAAGGATAGACAAAGTGCATTGCAGATAAATAAGTATAAATAAGTTGTATATATTTAGCATTACACGCAATACTGTAGGGAGATAGGTGTTGGTCAGAAAATTGTGTCAGATCGATGTATTATATGTCAAGATACCATAATTCTTGATATATCTGATAAATCAGCATAATCTTTTATTCTCGCCATATATACTAGGAGACTGAATGTTAATTTTTTGCTCAGTAGTAATGATTATCTGGAAAATATCTTTGCGTTATTCTTACACAAATAATTTGGGTTGGGGTCAACAATTTTAACTCATCTGAGCTGAAAGCTCAAATGAGCTTTTCTGATCACATTTTGTCTGTCGTCCCTCTGTAAACTGTTCACATTTTCAGCTTCTTCTCAAGAACTACTGGCCAGTTTCAACCAAACTTGCCACAAAACATCCTTGGACAAAGGGATTTAAGTTTATTTATATAGTGGCATCTTTTAAAAATCTTCTCAGGAACCACTGTGCCAGAAACGTTGAAACTTACGTGAAAACTTCATTGTAAAATGTAGATGTAATTTCATTCAGAGTATGATCCCCGGGAGAAGGATGCGTGTACAATAGATGATAAAAGTTATATAGAGGAATATATAGAAAATGATCTTTCATATACATGTATTCTAAAGAGCCTACTGGGCCAGAAGATTTGATATGTGAAAGTTTCATTACATGTGTACATTCAAATTTCTTCAAATCATGACCCTCAGGTCTATTGTAGGGCCACAGTGGGCGATCAAAGCTTAACATAGAAATGTATAGGAAAATTCTCTAAAATCTTCTCAAGAACTTCTCAAGAACTGCAAAACAAACGATTAGTCATATTTAAATGGAAGTATTATCATGTATTGTCATGTAACATGTACCGATGGACGACAATATGTGCAGTGAGGGTAGGTACATTATCGTCGTCGGCGACAATACGTACCGTCACAATTGTGCTGCATGAATTAGCATACGAGACACGTCAATGTGATTTACACACCAATTACATTCACAAATCTACAAAAAACAACAAAAATATCTTTAAGCAACAATGTCTGTGGGACGACAATATGCGCAGTGAGGGTAGGTTACATAATGTCGTCAGCGACAATATGTACATGTGTAACTTTTCAGCTGGCGACAATATTTACTGATGGACGAAAATACGTATAATGAGGGAAGGTATTTATTGTCGCCGACGACAATATGTACAAAACGTTAATATGTACCGTCATAGAAACTTTGTGACACTTCTTGAGAATTTTAATTCACAGGATGCACAAGAATACAAATATGATAAAATATTTGAACAGGGAGACATTCTAAAGTTTACAAATCATGGAGAATTACCATTCGTTTGAGGACACAGTTTCAGTTTAACTTGACGGAGAAGCAAAGGGAGATCACTGATCAGAATGCCGAGAAGGAATGTAGTGATAATCCCAATCCCAAACAGGCTACCGATGGCGAAGGCTGAAGAACGCGTATCTCTTACCGAAATTTTCTGTCTCTTGCTTTTTGACATCTGAGATTTATTAAGTTGTAGTTCCTGCTTTGTTCTTAGAATTTTGTTTTCTATAGAAATCTCAGCGTCATTGACAGTAAGTCTGTTACAAGGACAGGCACAGTCTGAAAGAAAATATAATTATTTTGTCTTTATGCAATACCCTCTGTGTATAAATATATAACTAAATTAATTTAAAAAATAAGTTGGGTTTTCTTCTATAGGTATACTTGTAGCAGCAACGAAAGTCTCAAAGGAATAGAGGAATTTGCTTTTAAAATTTACATTTAGAGATTAAGA